AAGCGACAAAGGCGAGAAAAACACTCATCTCAGGTTAAGGCAACGAAGACAGATGCTGTTCTACCACTTCCAACTCCTCTGAAATCTCCTCAAGAAAAGAAAGATCCTACTCCACATACTCCACCACCAGAAACAATCTTTGTAAAAGATTCATCTGAAGAAGACAATCTGACTCTTTCAAGACTCGACAAAAAGGGTCACTTTCGGTCTCCTGTCAAGCCAAAGTTTTCCCCGAAGAAACTTTCTACATCGAAAGTGGTAGACACGAGAGAAGCACCTCCACAGGGGGAAGAAGTCACGAAAGAAGCACTTCCTCAGGGGGAAGCTCAACCGAAAGTTGTTCTTCCTGAAAGACTTTCTGATGATCAAGGTCCAGAAACTGATCTCATTCCTTCTCAAGTCCCCCATCCACAAGAACCTACTTTGGCAGAGCAACTTCTTCATGAGTTAACGCAAGAACCTGCTGATGTAGAAATGGAGGCCAGTCGCTATAGTCTTCCACAAGAACCTGGTTCGCCAAAAAAGACGAAAGAAGCGTCTGCTGTAGTGTTTGATTTGTCATCTCTGCCACAAGAACCTACCAATGCAGAGCAGGTTATTCTGACACAAGAACCTGCGTTGGTAGACGAGACAGCTGTTGTGCCGGTAGCAATTCCAGATATCCCGAATCCATCAGCACCTGTTCCTGAAATAATCCTTCCTCAACCTTCACCAGATAAATTGTTCAGAGAATCCATTGAAAGAGACTACCAACGAGTTTTGCAGTGGCAAAAGTGGCGCACTGCTCCCTTAAGCACTTTCATTGAAACCTTTGATGCTATGCAAGACGAAGAAGACTTTGCACTGAAATGAATCGGCACAGATGACATTTACAAAGCCCTTCGTCTTGAAGAGATTAGACGAGTGTTCTCTTACAAGATGACCAATCGCACTCTCGGGAAAGACAAAGCCCCAATCTGCATTGAGCTTAACAAACCACCTTTGGATCCAGTTTTGGAAGAAGAAATGAAGCAACTTCGTTACGCCATGCTGCTGTCAAAAATCAAAACCACATAAGAAAAGGAACACCAGAATGATCCGAACTGCAATGTTAACGGCACGAAGGATGAGCATGGGCAAGAAATTGAAGAAGAAGAAAAAAGTGATATAAATGAAGATGAAGATGATAATGATGATGATGTTGACGATGCAGATGACGAGCATGATGACAATGATGATGATGATGATGATGACAACGATGGTAATTTGGGTAATGCAGGTGTCCAAGGAACTGATCCCGAAGACAGTGATCCAATTTTGATCGGCCCTTATTACGATACCTTTCCCCAAAGATCTCCCCTAAGAAAATTACCCTCTGACAGTGATGACCCGAAAGAAGCTTCCAATGAACATCCCGAAAATCTGTCTCGTGCCATAGTTCCACTTGTTCTACCTATGGACGAAACTCCAATCAAGCAAGAGTAAGAAAATGTGCGTGAGGGCAAACTGGAAGCCTCACCAATCCTTCTCAGCTCAGCAAGTGGTGGCAAAAGGGAAGCACCACCTCAAGATGAACAAATGAACACAACGCCAACAAACATTGAAGAAGAGTCTACTGCAGAGTCCCCACGGACTATCATGAACCTCATGAGAGAAACTGTCCATTCAGCCGAAACCATCCATCTGAAATATCTTGTTCTACGGCAAAAAGACACGAAAGCATTAGATGATTTAAGCAAGAAGGTAGATCTTCTGATGGCTGCCCAATCTCAACCTCAATCTCAACCGTCTCAACAAGCTCAATCTGATCACAAGTTCCTTGAGCAAATTGCGAAGAGACTTCATGAACTTGAAACCACCATGAACAAAGTTGCACGGCAACAACACGAGCTCAAACATTCTCATTTCGGCCTTAAAGAGCGTGTTGACCTAGCCTGTACAAAGATCGATACCTATCAAGATAATTCATACCAACTGGGAGAATATGCACTTCAAATTCTCGATTATGCCCAGGATATCTTGGTAACCGTAAGCAAGCTTTCCACTGTTCCTCCTACCACTTGTGCCGATGATGCCAAAAAGGGGGAAAAGAAAGATGACAACAAGGATAAGGATGATGATCATCCGAGAAACAACACGAAAGATCAGTCTCCAGAAGCAAGACACTCGCCTTCTCGGACACCAAGAGACTCTGGCCGAAGAAACGCAAATCCATCCCATCCTCCATCAAGGTCTCGTGGTCACCATTCCTCAAAGCCAAAATATGGTCAATACCAATCCAGATCACTTAAGCCCCGCCAATCTTTCGGTTCTGAAGCCAAGTACATCTTCGCGGGTCTGTCCAAGAGAGAACAGACGAATTTCCTAAGGCAGAGACTTATGAAGAACAACAAAGTAACTATGGATGGTATAGGAAATTTTGTGGACTTTGTTCCCTATGAAGAAGGAAGTGGTAAACGTTTTGAGGGTTGCAATGTCCCTACCTGGCTTAAAACAAGGGATAATCATACAAGGCAAGACCACATTAGCACCCAAAACGAAAGAATCAAAAGAGAAAACAGAGAGCTGTGAAAGAAACATGATGAAGAAATCAAAAGAAAAGAGGATGAAGCAAAGGAAAGAGAAAGAATCAAGAATCAAGAATCTCATCGAAGATCTTTCAAGTGTAACCAAAGACTCTCCACAAAGTGTTATTCACAATGCAGCCTTCAAGGTGCACAAAGAGTCAGGAAAAAGTTATCAAGAAGGAATGAACTCGTTTGAGCTAATTTCGTGGTGGAAAGCTGGGATTGTCGAAGGAAGAAACATTCGTGAAGCCTATAACAACTACACAAGCTTAAACATCAAAGGAGAACATGAAAAGCTTGTCAAGTCAAATCCGATTAAGATCTTCAGGAAAAAGATCAATGAGAAAATAGACCTCAAAAGAATGCTCAAGCAACAAAGGAAAAAAGACGACAAAGAACATAAGGAAGCTGTTCAACAAAAGTCAAAGCTCTTAAAAATGTAAGATATCTTTCGTTCTGTTTTCATCATAAAGTTTTTGTAACTTTCGCTATCTTAATATGAAACTCTCTTTGTCACACATCTCGTGTCACTTGTCTGATTTATTCATCCTTGTCTTATTTGTTAATGCTTTCATCCTAGAAAAGGACGTGTACACTCTCACGTGAGCTGCTTTTATAATAGAAAAATTATTTTATGAAATCATTTCCAGCCTTACAAGAAGGGTATAGGTTTTGACATCATCAAAAAGGGGGAAATTGTTAAGAACCTTGTATTAGGATTTTGATGATACCAATGTATTGTAGAAAAGTAGACCCCTAACTATTAGCTTTTTCGATCGCTGCTTTCGTCCTAGACGAGAATTGCCATAACTCCCATGTAATTCGTGTTAAGCTAGACAAACACACGAAAATGAGTTATGACTAGTGATAGGGTCTCCAAAACGAATGAAGACACAGGGCATGATGAACAACAACGAAAGTCAAGCAGGAGTTGTCAACTATCACGAAAGGACAGTTTTGTTAAAGACGATTCTTACCAAGCATTACTTCTCCTCAACAACGAGAAGAATATTTTGTCTGTCTGATTTGACAACATCCTAGGATAATAAGGACCTCATCTTATGGGACACATTAATCAAGGAGCATTAAATGAAGGTGTACCATCTCCTGGAGCTAAAGGACAAAACCCTAATACTTTCCATACCTTCAACGGCTACATGGTACAACCTCATTAATGGATCATTTAATGCATGAGGCTCCCCGGTCCTTGCCCATTGGTTAAAAGGTTCAAAAATCTCATCTCCCTCCAACGGATGAATTTTCATCACCTATATAAACCCACCTTCATCAACTAAGAAGGTGCTGGTTCTTTTCACTCGCACTTGCAAAAGCTCTTGAACGCTCTCAAATCTCTAAAAGCTTTTGTGAACCAGTATTAAGGTGTTAAGTTACTTGAAGAAAGTCAGTTATCATTTTCTTACACCTTAAAGAAGTCTTGTCATTTGTTCGAAGCAATCGTCTCCCACTGTCAAGACTTCATCACGTTGGAGAAATCAAGAAATCATTTTCTACCAACCTCAACTCTGAAGAAGAAGTTGATTGAGGCGGAGTAAACTCGAGAAGTTAAAAAACCTACGAAGGCTGTCCGACTTAGTGATCAAGGAGGTCTTTGTGTAATTGTACTAAAGAGTGATAGTGCAATCCTTCCATCAGTTGTGGAAGAAGAGTGGAGTAGGCAACGTTAGCCGAACCACTATAAAATCTCTTGTCCCTTCTATCTCTTTACTTACACCTTTTATCTCTGCATTCATATCATCCTTATTATCACACTCACCGAAAGTTTTCCTCATATCGTAAACTCATGCAAAGCAATTAAACGAATCTAACTTTTTCGCTACGCCAAAACACCGAAAGGTGACTTTGAGGGCATTTCACGAAGAAAGTCTATTCACCCCCCTCTCTAGACTCTCACTACATTCTATCGGGACCAACAAGATGTACAATAATGAGTATAAACTCATTTGCCTAGAAAACTTGTTTTGAGATTTAGGGATTTAGGGTAAGGAGTGTAGGGTTTAGGGTAAGGAATGTAGGGTTTAAGGTTGGAGTTAGGGTTTAGGGTTCAGAAGAATAAAAATAATAGTATCTTACTAAATTACTTAATGATAATGACACATTAGCTATGTTTCTACTTTCCATTGAAAGGTGATAGTTTTAGAAATTTTGTACTTCTTATTAAGATTTGAGAAATTAATTCTGACAACTAAAATTTCATAATGAATAGTTCATAATTATGCAAAATATGAGTTCGGAAAAAGAATTGAAATGCTACCAAACAAGAAATTTTTGGTTGAAGATGACGAGACCTTTATCGGTGCCATTAAAGAACCAAGGACTATTATCGAAACCAGACCATGAATTTTGATAAGAATTTTCTACACTACGACCAAAAATGAAAAACAAAATAGCAGTTATAAAAATTATTTATTGCTATTACAATGATAAATTAAATACCTGCAAATCCTGGGGCACCAGGTAGGCGAGCAGAAGGTGGAGCTGCCATGTCAAAGCCACTGACCCTCCTCTTGATGTAAATAAACATTGTAAGTACCATTTTAAAATTAAGAATACAGGTTGATAAATAACACATTGTTTAGAACAAAAGGAAAAGTGAATTTTGGTATAACACTATTACCATTACAAGGATTGAGAATCCATCCATTACATCGACCCAGCAAACTTTCTAGGTTCCCAAGCCATGTATGGCAATGATGTTCTCCAACACTATAAAATCAACCAATAGCTAGGCTACATTTACTTATAACAGTTTTTCTGTCAATCATACTTCTACATCCAGACACCTATGCACAATATGTTGTCCTTGTAGCTATGCACAACACCAGTATTAAAACACAAAATAATCAAAGAAATGATGTGGAGACTATAGTAACTTATTTATCTAACTAAAGCACAGATAATGGCCACCAAAAAGTTCCTAATCCTAATAAGCAGCTTACCTCACATTCATTCTTGTGCTCCAAGTAAAGAAAAGCTTTATCTGGAAGCACTCTATCTTATACCTTCAATACAAAGTTAAGATAGAAGGACATGAATCTTTAAATGCATGTGCATGGATGTGTGTGTTGGTAAATTAAGAAGAGTAGAAATGAAGACTTCAATCCAAAATCTGACCCCAAACACAGTAGTTTTTTTTTCCCACCAAATACAAATCATTATTTCTACTAACAATATATTAGAAGATACTAACTAACCACTTACCACTAGCATAAAGGACAATATTTAACATCACCATCTGAGAACCCATTTATTTTCATGATTTCTTGTGTCATATCAGCCAATGTTTGAGCACCCAACCTAAAAAATGCAAAAATATCAGGTCATGTATACTTGTCAAGAAAGATCATCCTACATCTGTATATTAGTTGGGTAATCCAATAACTGTTGTTGAAATACATGCAGTAACGTAGGTTTGAAATACTAAATGATGGTTTAGTAAGAACTTACCTCAAATAGTGTGAAAATTTATGGCTTCCGAAATTCAAGACCAAACAACTAGCATAAAGTGATCTCAAGGGAAAAATTGGGGACAGATTTGCCTGTCTGCTGACATTGTCATTTGAAGTGTTGTGTTGTTCATCTCACAACCCCAAATACTCCAAAGCCCTCAACCCATTCTCTGCAGTAGTCACTGATGCAATGCAAATCAAACTGTCAATACAGATTCTACTCTATGCGTAACTGTAAACAACACAGACAATTCTGCATGCAATGGCCAATGGGGAGAAGATTTCTGAGAGCACTATCCACAAAATATATAAGCAATCAAATCTATCCCTCAATTCGTATATATTACAAATATTCCTCAAATATAAAAATACTAACTCGTATATTACAGTCCACTTAGAATCATGCTAAACCTTACCCCCACCAAAATCAAATAAAGTTCATATGTGCAAAGAGCAAATCAACCATTGTAACATATGTTAAATGATGTTAAAAGGGACAACAGCAAGAAATGAAAATATGGCAGGATCACAGATGTATATACCACAGGGATTGACTGTAACATTATTTATTGACTCAAATAGATATTACCAATATTTTCAATAAATTTAGAAAATTACATGGTCTCAAAAATACATGCTTTGCATTGTAAAGTCAGATAAATTTAAAAAAATTAAATATCTATCCTAAGATGAAGCAAGATGTTGAATAAACAGAGTACAACATGACACTGCAAGAAAGAAATCCCAATACTCTAAGACATCTTAGTTTTAAAGACCCCAACTCAGATATTACAGTTCAGACAAGATCTGAGTAACATCTTTCCCCAAAACCATATAGATGAGTTAGATCATTATAAAAACTGGAATAATGTGCAAACTTAGAAATAATGAAATTAAAAAATGAAATAAGCCTGAAATTCACACAAGGCCTACTGTAGAAATAATGAAAAATGATCATATGGGCAGGAAATGAAACCTTGGAGCCACCTGGCGACGTTGTCGCCGAGATTGGACTTCTCCACCGGGTCGGCCGTGTTCAGAACCCGCAACGCCGCTTCAACCAGTGTTTCCTCTCCGCTCATCCCTCCCTCAAATGCACGCAGATGATCCTGAGAAGAAGAGAAAGAAGAAACGGTTCCAGATCTGGACGAGGATGACGCTGACCCCAAGGCGAAGAAGCGCTTCCAGATCTGATGCCGTCTCTTCCATAAGATGCGGTTCCAGATCTGTATCATCGGGGCCGTCGGACGATAGATTGGAGGAGGGAGGTGGGCGGCGTCGTCCATAAGCACCGCTGCGCCGTCGTCGTCCTTCAGGCAGGCGGGCGACGTTGTCCATCTCCACCACCACAGGCGGCATCGTCCATCTTCATCACGCGTCATCCATCTGAGGCGAGGCGAGAGAGAAAGAGATGGTTTGAGAGGTGTGAGAGAGAGTGTGTAAATGGTTTTCATTTGGGTTTTCGTTTCCTTTTTTTTAATATTAAGTTTCCGCAACGGTACTATTCGAAACAGTCGCCGAAATTAATATTTAATTTTTTTTTAAAATGGGATAGTTCCGCGACGGTTCTTTAAAGGAGCAGTTGCCGAATTAATCGCCTTTTTTTTTTTTTTTTTTAAATTTTAAATCGCGATTATTCTCTTTAGAAACTAGCGGATTCTTATTCAAATATTTACAATAATATCACCGCGAATTTTATTAAAAAAATACATAACAGTTGCTAAAAGTTAATATTCTTTGTTATTTTTGTACTAGTGACACTTAAGAAGTCAAACTGTGTTTTTTTCTTGAATTTTATGACTATTATAAAATAACTAGTTATACACACGTATCGCACGAATGAGTTAATGCCTAATGTTTATAATTAAATAAGTATTTGAAAGTATCTCAATGAAAGATTATATATGAGAAGTTCATACATAAGTAATTTAATGTCGAATTTATTTATTTATACAAGATAATATAGAAGATTCATTATAATTGTTAATAAACGTTTTTAAATAGTAACCAAGTTTTTTTTTTTTTTTTTTTTTTTTTGCAAAGGGTTCTAAGATATTTAATGAATACACATACAAGATCAATGAATGAATCAATGGTACCAGTCCGTTAGGTATTTTGATTAGTGTTCATTTAGTTCAACATTTTGGTTTGATTGCTATAGTGTCTGTTCAATTTGACCCAAACCGTGGTCATAATTTGTTAGAGAAAAAAATAGGGTAAATATGTTCATTTAATATTTCAGGAGAAAAAACTGTCACTTGAATAATTTAGAGGAAAAAAGTGTATATATAACTTATTAGGGAGAAATAGTGTTATTTTCCCTATAATAAAACATAAAGAAGAGCACATTGTGCTTTACAAATAAACTGAATTTACAAAAACATTTGTGTAATCCTTAATTACAAATTTCAAAAACAAAAGATTATGAATAACTGCAAATTGCACCAGCAAATACCATGTGATCATTGACTGGAGAGTGGAGACGAAGTTGTTGAACTTTCTGTAGAGAAGACATAATTGCCCAACAAATATATACCATGCAATCCTACCTTAAGATCAATCATGTCTGTGTTTGAGGAATGAACTACCTACCAACTACAATCAATCATATAGGCGAATTGAATGGATTAAATGATGGGCTGGTGACATTACATGAATTCAATCTTCAATGAAATAATTTTCATATGACAATTATAAGTGAAAAATGGTGTAGAACATTAATGTTCCATTTTATATTTTTGAGGAACAAATATGGTACCAGGGGAGTATCCGCAGCAAGCTTTAAAGGAGCCCCTCGTAGTGAAGGATGCATCTCTTGCATCCATCTTACAGCTGTAATACATTGTCTGTAAACGCAAAAATGTTATCACTGAAAATATGAAAAATTATATATAGGCATCCAAGAGATGAACAAGAACTCGGAGCTCACGATATAGCTAACATTAGGTTTTATAATCAACAATTTGTTCGCAACAAGAGGTTCCACAATAACTGTTGTGAAATATTATATTTTAATTAAAAAAATAAAATACAATAGATACGATGTCGGTTTTATAATAAAACCAATGTCGTATCGTATAACAATTTCTTTTAAAAAAATGAAATAGGTTATGGCGTTGGTTTCATAGCCCTAGTCTATTTTTTTTCCCTCTTCTCTTCTTCTCTTCTCATTTTTTCCCTAAAACAACCAAACGACCAAACAACGCGCAACCACCAAGCAGCCAAACGACCGTCTCTGCCATCGCTTCTGCCTCTACCGACGTCTGTTAGCACCCGCCGTCGCCATCCATCATCCTTCTTCTTCTTCTCTCCACCCCAACCACTGCCAAACCACTGCTGTCACTGCCACTCTCCACCTCTCATCGCTGCCACCACCGTTCTCTTCTTTGAATACTCTATGTAAAAAGGTATATAAAATTATTTACAATCTTGAAAAAAAATCTTGTAATGCATATGCCTCGTGGTATTGTGGGCAACGTTGATTATGAGTTACATCTTGAGAAGTAGGAGACCATTGTTTCTTTAGTATTATGTGTTCATAGTATTTTTAATTTCATATATATATATATATATATATATGATTTTGCTTGTGAATACGGTCTTTATAACGATTTTGGTTTGACATAAAAAAATCACGTATGGCTTCTTAGATCTAAATTGGATTCAACCAAAATTGATGACTAGAAATGATCGGATAGGGTATATAAATGTCACCATGCAACATGGGAAAAAAATTGTTATTTAACTCCATATATTCTCAAGTAAGTATATATTAATTGCTTTAAATACAATAACTTATATATGATATATTTCTATTATATATTATATTCACTTAAAACTAATAAATTACTTATTTGTAGTGAACATTAGATGTTGATGGCAATTTGTCCTCAATTATATGAAATCTATTGGTTTTATTCCATTGGTGGCGAATCACGTGAGGACAATAAAGATATAGTTGAAACGTATAAACTTATAAATAGTAGTTACTAGTACGTTATTATTAAGAGTTAATACCCAAAATCGTTCTCGACTATAGTGGTTTTTCTCAATTTCGTCCTAAACGACTTTGGTGACCTAATATCGTCCCAGACTTTTGTGTTTCGCTCAATTTAGTCCTCCATTTGTTATTCCGTCAAATTGGTGTTAAATAAAGGGACAATTCAATAATGTCAATATTGATCTCTCTTTACTTTCGACTTGTGAAGTGCGAAATTCCTCTTTCTTGTACGAATTACACCCAGAATTACTCCCGGACCTGCAAATCAAATTTTATATTCGCAGTTTTAGGAGTAATTCTGGGAGTAATTCGTAAAAAAAAAAGGGATTTCGTAGTTCACATGTCTATGAGTAAAGAGATGCCAATATTAAAATTACTGAATTGTCTATTTATTTAACACCAAATAGACAGAATAACAAATGATGGACTAAATTGAGCAAAAACACAAAAGTCTGGGACTAAATTGAGCGAAACACAAAAGTCTGGGACGATATTAGGTCACCAAAGTCGTTTAGGACGAAATTGAGAAAAACCACTATAGTCGAGGACGATTTTGGGTATTAACTCTTATTATTAATATAGTTGATGGATTTAATTAACCCGGGATAGCCCGAATTACTAAACCTGATAAATAAATGATAAATAATACAGTAATAAAGACAAAAAATATTTGTCGCGGAGACAATTCTTGTATTAGTACTAATTTGTAGGCAGAGTACAAATAATTGTAATGATTGGACATGAGATAAGATAAGAGATAAATTGTCCTAAACAAGACAATAATATGCCTTTTATACCAATCCATCTTCCAACCGCCCCATGAGAATAGGGTGGGCGGTTGGGTCATCTTTTAACTGCGTCCGCATGCGCACGCTTGAGGCCGCCCTTAGCCACGGACACCCGGGCCGAGACTACCCCCAACTGAGGTCGCCCTTAGCCGAGGTCGACCCCAGCCGAAGTCGCCCTTATCCGAGTTCACCCCAAGCCTCCCGGGTTGCCTCTCCTCTTCTTCGGGTTGGTTTGCCCCGAACCCGTTTCTAATATATCCATCAATAGTGATGTCATCAAGTATTTACTTTTTTTTTATCTCTCTTATATTTATAGATGTGTGAAGACAACAAGTATGTTGAATGGAAAGAAACCAACTCATCCACCAAAATGGATTATATGTTCGGTAAGTATTTCATACACTTGTAAAATTACATATATGTTATTGTTTTTTATTAAAAAAAATTCTTAATTGTATTTTAATTCAAATGTATTGTGCCAAACAAGTTGGAAGTACCTGGATATTATGTGATGAAATTCATGTTGAAAATTCTTTTCACACAAGCATATAAAGGAATATAATGGATAAGGCAAATAATTTAATAAAATATCTTTCTCCTTCAAATTTTTAAAATACTAGCCTATTGATTATTTATTCTTCCAAAGGCTGAACCCCAACCCTAAGGGCCCCCCACACCCCGGCCCGACAGAGTATTTGGGAGGATGTAAATCATGGTGACTCAACTGAACATGAACCATAGAGGCTAGACCGGTGCTCACTGCGCACAAGGAGCCCCTCTCACTTTGAGAGGTTGCTCCCACACTAGCCTATTGATTATTTATTTATTTTCAACTTTGTAGAGTTTGGAGAGATTTAATAGATTGAGCTACAATCAACAAGAGATTGATGAAGTTAAAGACACATGGTCCAAGTACTTAATTGAGAATGGGTTAATACAGTACTTGTTTAGTACATGAAATAATTGATGTTGATAATTTTAATTTTAAATTGTTATTATTAATTAGTATCCATTGTGAGATTTATTAGTTTTAGCTTGATTAATTATGAGATTATAAATATAAAATTGCGCAGATTTTGGATGTGGTTGTGATCTGTATATTAGTGTTGATACTCTGGATATATATGTGGTTAATTGTGGTATCTTTTGCGCAAGTTTTGGGTATAAATTTAATAAAATAAATATATCACGTCGATTTTTCAAAACAACCGATGTGGTAAGTTTTTATTTTTAAAAACATAAAAATAGATACGACATTGATTTAAAAAAAAAAAAAAAAAAAACCAATGACATATATAAATATTTTTTTTAAAAATAACATATCACATTGTTTTTTTTTTTTTTTTTTTTGGTGTAAAAAACTGACGTGCTATGTAATATAATTTTTTTTTTT